GCAGGGCAGGGCAGGGCAGGGCAGGGAAGGGAAGGGAAGGAAAGGGAAGGGAATACTTGCAATCCTTTGGTACTGGACAACTGTAGTTTTGGGATTAAATTCAAGAATATTCTAATATAAATAGAGATGTGATTTAACCTGCTAATTACAAATCCACTTTAACATTAACATGGTCCATTTTTTGTAAAAGTCACTAGAAAAGTCCTTGTAAACTTCTTTATGTAGAAGTTGTCTCTGATGCTGGTTTGCTTTTGCTTTTGCTTTTCTTAATTTTTGGTCACATTCTGTTCCAGGATGACTTGGCAGGAAGACAATCTGATATTGCGTCACAAACCGCATACTTCAGCACGACTTACTTCTCTTTCACACTGTTTATAATTCTTGGGAGGGTTTAACAGCACATATGTCATTCAGAGGATATTCCTGTTAATAAGCTGGGCTTTGTTGACAGAACTTTGATAATTACCTCTAAAACATAGTTTCTGTGTCCACGACTGCAGTGTGCTTGAAATCTCTTCAAGTATAAAGGGCTTACCAAACACTACCTATCTCCATTTTACACTTAATGAAAAAAATGTTCCTTAATACTCTCATCCTTGATGTGTTGCTAAGACTAAGAGCAAAAATTAAAGAGAGAAATCAGAAAATCCATCTCTTTTCGTCCTTGAAGTGTCCTATACATGTTTTGGGCCATGAAGAGGGAATCTGAAGTGTACTTAAATTAATGAGTTTCTTATCCTTAAACACACCCCTCTCTAAAATTCAGTGCATTTTGATCGGTTTCCATCCTGAAGTTTCATCTGCTACTTCTGTGCTGCTCCGGTAGCAACTTCTTAAGGACAGCACACCAAAGGAGCCAAAAACAGGAACTAGAGGCTTGTTTCAAAGAAATAATGTGGGAAATGGATTTTGATTATTTTCAGAAATGTAAGAAAAAATCAGTGCAGAATCTTTATTTTTTGAGACAGTTAACTGGAAGGACCAGCCTTAAAATGTTATTAAAAGCGCAATGCCCTTATGCTGCTGCATAGCAAGAACTGAGTGTACCAGGGATGACATTACCATGGAGATGCAAAATAAAGTCACTGAATTCAAGGCATGATCACTAACAAGGAACAATGTACAGTGCTAGCCTCAAACCCTCTCATTTTCCAAGCAAATCCCTGTGCAAAGCTGAATACATGACCAGAAGGCTGTTTTCCCAGCACTGTATTTCTGTCACTTGTGACACAAGATTTCCAAACTTTTAATCAGAATCAAGCAACCGCAAATGGTCTAGTGGTTCGGGTGCAGCACTTTCACCGCTGCGACCTGGGTTCGATTCCCAGCCCCCCGGGCAGATGGAGCTCGTC